AATACAAGTAGTTTTGAAAGAGTAGATCAGCATTTAAGCTGGTGAGTTCATAAGTATTTAGTAACGATGTTTGTAAGAAATATAATGAAAATGGTTTGTACATGTTTGAATGTTCCTAGAAAATCCCATATTTTCTACTATAGTAGATGGTAGTTTAAGTGTTCCAAAACTTGTAATGCAATAGTGCTTTTCATGCCTAAAATAGTAAGTTTATGTATAAATTGCTACGGCATTTGAAAAACCCCGTAAATCAATGTGTTTTTAATACTCCATGTGAGTCTTATAACCATGCTATTTGACCAGGATGCCTATAACAATGTTCTTCAGGCGTTGGAAAGTTATGACATTTGTCACCCCAGGCCTGCCGGCCTAGCTGTAGCTAACAACTTAGGTGTGGGATTGCCAATCCCGTATAGATCTATACACATGTATCACGCTCCCCATACAAGGGATTTTGGTATATAAAACAGATTTACGTACGAAAATGTCCATTTGTTCTTGTATATGAAAATATCTCTTTGATATAGTGTTTCTAGTATGTAAATGTTCATGATTTTCTCGTAAACTATACCTATTATAGTTTTTCAAAGTGTGAGTTCCGTTCGTATAGTAAACCCTAGTGTAATACTCACTTGTTATGTAAAGTATAGTATTTATAGTGACATAAATGATCACATATATTTAAAGTATAACTAAAGTGTTTGATTCGTGTATATATATATATATATATATATATATATATATATATATATATATATATATATATATATATATAAACATGTTTTATTTCCAAAAGACAAGATGTTATCGAGAATATATATCGCATACGAAAGTTCTCATGTAGTAGTTATGAATCACATATGATTTACTTGATAAAAAGAGTATATAGTGAAACTTTATGTTACACACGATAATAACCATGTGTTTACTTGTATCCCCCCCTAAAAGTGTATAAAAAGCATTGATAAAACATTTGAAAGTGTAGTTGATAGGGGTATGAACTCACCTGATAGCTTGGAGAAGGTGAGATGAAAACCGAGCAGAACTTTGACTCGAGAAAATGGATTTTCTCATGATTCTCGGGAATCTCGGGAGCGTAAGCTTCCTTCGGGACTCGAGTAAGAAAAACTGGGGCTTCGGGAAGGCTTATCGAGGTAATCACGCAGAGTAACAACACTTAGAAGGAAAGAAATGAGCACCCAAACCCGACACCCTTAAGCTTCTATTTATAGGGACTGATTTGGAGTCTCACGTCAAGAGTTTTGGATCCTCATGTCGTGAGGCTTAGTCAGCATGATCCTCTTCAATGATTTGACGTGGCTGACACTCTGGAACCCATCAATCACGAGCTCACGTCGTGAGCATGGTCCCCTCACGTCGTGAGGCTGAGTCAGCCTCAGATTTTGTGTCCCAAACTTGTAAAATCAATAACTTTTGCGTACGAGCTCCAATTTCGACGTTCTTTATATGTACGCGTAGATGTGAAAAGGCTCTACAACTCTCATTTAGACTCCGTCAGCTAATTTTTTTATTTATTTTTTATTATATTATTTTTAACAGGTCGGGCCTGGAAAAGTGCGTTTAAATCCCATAACTCCTTCATCTGTTGTCTATTTTCGTCAAACTTTTTACCGTTGTAATAACATTGTCGAGGCCTTCGATTCTCATTTAGGTTGTTCCGGACAAAAGTCGCTCGATCTCTGTTTCGAGTTTTTAGTTGTCTACCGCTATACCGAAACTTTAGAAATTTATAACTTTCTCATACGAGGTCAGATTTGAGCGTTCTTCTTATGTATGTTTATAGTTTAATGATATCTAACATAGTAGGTAATCAAATAGAGACTTTTGTACATTTTATTTTCAAAGTTAATTTCATTATTTTCAAAAGTGGTTACAATACTTGACTTTTTAGGTCATTACATAGAGTCAAAATATCGGGTTGTCACAAAGATGATCTAGAAGTTGATGATGGTAGTGGTATCACCCTGATGTCATATCAACATAAGGTAAATCACTTATTATACTTCATATTTCTTGTTAATAAATTTCCATTTTCTTAACATATGAATTTAAATTGTATAGGGGCTATTGGAGGCTGTGAAGGAAGTAATGCCTAATGATGAACACAGACAATGTGCAAGGAATATTGTTGCTAACTTTAGGAAAAGGTTCAGTGGTGTGCATTATGAGAGGATGTTTTGGAAAGCTTGCAAAGCATCAACTGAACCTTTATTCAATGCAGCAATGAAGGAAATACAAGTACTAAATCCTGCAGCATTTGACTACCTTATAGAAAATAACCCAAAATCATGGTGTAGAGCTTTCTTTAGAGAGGGGAGGATGTGTGATGCAGTTGAAAATGGATTATCTGAAAGCTTTAACAATTTCATTAGAGATGCAAGAAAAAAACCAATAATCACAATGTTAGAAGAAATTAGGTTGTATGTTATGGAGAGGCAATTTAATCTCACCATCAAAGGTTGTTCATGGCCTGATTATAAACCATACCCAACCATTACAATCCTATTGAATCAGTTGAAAAGAGCTCAAAGGTTTTTTCTTTTCTATTAATACTTTATTTAGTTTTTCCACTATACACCCTAACTTTTATACCATTGCATCAGGTATTGGTAGGTTTTACCTACTGGTTTAAACCAATTTGAAACAAGGAATTTGGCAGAGTCTTACGTTGTGGATGTAGATAAGAAGACTTGTTCATGTAGAATGTGGCAACTAAATGGGTATGGATGTGTAAATTTAGTTGCAACAACCTCATACCTTAACAATGATGTTGGTAATTATGTGGATCCAATGTACTATGGAGCAATTTATAAGAACACCTACAAGTATCCTATGCATGGGATGAATTGTAGCAACATGTGGCCACCTAATGAATTCATTCCACCTTTGCCACCATTAAAAAGAAAAATTCCAGGTAGACCTAAAGTTAATAGAAGAAAGGATTCAAGTGAAAGGGGTCCTAGACATATTGTGTCAAAGGTTGGGAAAAAGATTATGTTTAGTGTATGCAAACAAGCAGGGCATAACAAGGTTACATGTTCTAAATCTAAAAAGCAAACAAAACTAAAAGTAAGGAAAAGAAAGAGATCATATGTTATTTATGGGTAGGGAAGCAGTGCTAAGAAGGCAAAAGGTATGACAGATGAGGAAGGAGGGAGGGGTAATAAGGGAATTAATGGAAAAGTTGGGGAAGGAAGCATTGGTAAGAAGGCAAATGATGTTATAGATGATAAAGGGGGGAGGGGTAATAAGGGTAATAATGGAAAATTTGGGAAGGAAGCAATGGTAAGAAGGCAAATGATGTTATAGATGATAAGGGGGGGGGGGGGGTAAAAAGGGCAGTAATGGTAATGTTGGGGAAAGAAGCAATGGTAGGAAGACAAAGGATGGTAAAGATGATATAGGAGGGAGGGGTAAAAAGGTAATTGTCAAGACAAGAAAGAAGTCGGAAAGAATTTTGAAGAAAAAACCTGGTACACGGGTTGAGGGTAAAAATGGGGAAGGCCATACTATTGACAAGCCAATGGAACTAGAATAGGTTAAGTGTGGTCAGTGTCGTTATGTAGTCAATGTGTTTATGAAAACTGATTTCGGGTTAAGTGTTTTAATTTGATGTTTTGTACTCACTTTGGTCATGCTAAACAATGTTGGATTAAGTGTTTCAATTTTATGTTATGTACTCACTGTGGTGTTATGCATTCACTTTGGTTATGCTAAACAATGTTGGATTAAGTGTTTTGATTTTATGTTATGTACTATTTTTGTTTAATTTTAATCTAATATAAATTACTATGTTATGAACTCACTATGGTGTTATGTATGCAAAAGATTTCAGTGTCCTTATGATGGTGTGTTGTGTTTATGGACATGCATGGTATTGGGGTCCATTATTTACATTAGTGATGGATATATATGGTCCCATTTACTCTAGGTGAACATGGCATTGGTGTCTATTATTGACATTAGTGATTGAAAGTCATTACAAGGATAATGTAAATAACCATAACAATTTCCCTAACAAGGACATAAAAAACTGCTACGTATGAATTACAATTGTACACAATTATGCCAAAGAAAATAATCCAACTTAGAACTAAAGACATCTTCAGTTTCCAAATCTTTGATTCAAGCTTCTTATTTGACCTAGCCAATCCTACAATCATAACTGCTTCAACACTCATATTCTTAGTGTCTGCTTCTTCTACCCAACAAATAAAACCATTACGAGGTCCCTAACAAAATAAATTTAGAAGTTAGAAGTGTAGAATGCAAAACAAATAAATTAGGGCTACAATGACCTAATAAAGAAAGTTAAACAAACCTTAGTGGGGCAAGCATATAATGGTCTTCCAGGGTTTGATGGAGTGGAAGACATTCTGATTATGGCCAAACATCCACATGAACATTTCACCATTTTTGCTTCGTTATTTCCGAGAGCTGCTAACTTCAAAATGCAAACAAGAACATGTACAAAGAAATGGGATGTGCTGCCGAGTAAAGAAGGTAAAGTACTTATAAAGAGCAAATGACGAAAATACCCCAACTGAGTAAGGAAGTAAGTTCTTAAAAATTGTAAATTTTGAAAATACCCCTTGACGAAATTACCCAAATGTTTGACCTCATTAACATCTGTCACAGTTGGTGTACCAACAACAATTAGTTTTCATTAATTAAGCCAACCAAGTGTCCACATCGTTAGTCTTAATCAAGAACATTGATCCTAACAAATTCAAAACGCATTCAAGGTCTTTACATCTCATCAAGATAATATCAAAATGCCTGTTACATGTTCCCAGGACTTCAAAAAACATCCGTAAACAACCACCACTAGATTACCACAAACATCATAGACGATTACCACAAACAGAAACGAACACACACAATCCTAATAACATATATTACAATAAAAACCTTAAACATAATAGACGATTACGACGAACACTAGATTATCATACCACTACTATTCACCTCCTTGAGAATCACTTGTTGACTATCAAGTGAATGATGAAAATCATTAGCAGGAGCATCATCACGACAAGATCCACAACCAACAACGCAATAGCTTTAATCTGCTTCTCAACCTTCTCGAACCTTTGCTGCATGTTCAGGACATCAACCCTGGAATGAAGGTAATCGCGACCCATCTCCTCCTCCATGTGCTCCACCTCACCTTTTTGCTCGGCTATTTTATCACCACAGTCACAAAAAATCGTGTGCAAATCGTTCAAGTATAGCCCATCTCTTGAGCTAATCGAGTTGTTGGAGTTTATAGTATCCGATGTTTGTCGGGTTGTGTTTGGCCGGAAGTGGTAACAAAGTGTTATGGTTTTGTCCAAGAGACCATCCATTTATATAGTACGGGAGCACTTAACCCTTAGTGACCAAGTAAGTGAACTCGGTGGTGAGTCGATGACGTGTAAACCGACTCGTCTGAGTTAACTCAGTAGGTTACTTGGATGATGACATGGCAAGCAAACCGGTTGAGTTGGGTCAAAATCCCAAATTAGCCGGTTAAATGTTAGTTTATACCCTTCTAAAGCCAAAAAAAAAAAAATAATAAAAAACCTTTTAAACCAAAACTTGTAAGTTAGTGGAGTTACAGTAACATTTTCCCATACCAGAAAAACACTTTTCTCGATATGATTAGAGTACATGCTTATAATTGGCATTGTTTTAGAATAGAAAGACAATCTTTTCAATATGATTAGAGGACATGCTTATAATTGGTATTGTTTTAGAACAAAAAGACACTCTTTTCAATATGATTAGAGTACATTCTTATAATTGGTATTGTTTTAGAACTATAAGACGTCTTGAGATTGGAACGATTTGCTATTGGTATTGTTTTAGAACTATAAGACGTCTTGAGATTGGAACGATTTGCTCCAATACCCGATGAACTTGTAATTGTTGTTTTGGTTTGTTTCGCTAGTTTTTTTGCTAGCTTTGTTCTTTTTTTATAATACATGCTGTTCCAAAAAAAATTGAACACTTGTTCAAAACGTTTTTCGCAATCTTTCATCTTACACAATACACACAACAGAGAAATACTCTACTAAAACATTTTCACAACCTTTCATTTTTCTCAACACAATTAACCTACAGTTAACTGGTATATAAGTTGTTAACAAATACTATAGTTTTAGCAACTCTACTTCATAAATGTTGCAATTGCATCAGCAATTGAAGAGGTATGATTTTGAGGCGATTTATGATGGTGAAGCAATGAATGGGCTTTGGCCCATAAAGACTTCGGATTTTCAGGAAACAAAGAATTGCATAATTCCAAAACCATTGGGTTTTCATATCGTTGCTGCAGGGTTTCATACAATTTCGCCTTCTCACTTGCGTTTCCCAAATCCTATATTCACAACATAACAAGTTACTGTTAACAACCATTACTTTATTTTTTTCATTAAAAAAAAAAAAAAAAACAATTCAATTACCTTAGGCTTCTGATTTTCAACTGGTGACGTGTCATCCTCATGATGCATCAATTTCTCTTCAGTATTATCATCATCATCCTTAACCGCATCACCTCCTTCCGCCATTTTTACATCTTCCAATTTCTCTGTTTGTTCAGCGATGGCATTTTCGTAATTTTTTTGTGATGTCATCATCATCTCTTTCTCTTTCTCCTTTTCTTTTTCTTTTTCTTCTTCTTGTTTACCACTCTGCATAGCATTTTCCATTTTCACTTCCTCTCCTTTATCTTCCATGTCACCATCCGCATCTTGATTTTGTGAATTGTCCGTACTTGATGACGTGTCATCTCCATTAAAACTTCCCACCATTAAAGCCCCCTAAAAACAATCACCACATGCAAAAAACTACTTATTTGCCCTTCTTTTTCTTTCTTTTTGGGAATGTAAGGGTAAAATGGTCATTTACCTCAACTTTGACTTGGACCAATCCATCATCTGTTTCCATCTGATCATTTCCAGGGTTCATAATCTGCTCTCGCTCCAGCCTACGCCTCATCATAATACATATTGCACAAAGACAATCATCTTTATGACGTTTCACTCTGAAAATAACATAAAAAGTTAAAAAACAAAATGATACATAGAAAAAAAAAAACGATATGGAAAAGACAAAAATACCCTTGACGTTTTCTTGACTTATGTTTTGAATGACTACTTTTACTTGACTTTCCATGACTTGATATGTTTCCATCTTTCATGTCATGTTCATTATACAATCCTGCAGCACTCCAATACTTCGAAAAATTCTTTTTTACACGTTTCATAAGCTCTAAAATGTAATCTCCTTTATTGTTATATTTGTAGCAATTTTCCCAAATATATTGTACATCCATGTATACGTCTTCTGAATTCATGTATTTAAGACCTTTTTCAAGGTTGCTGCATATTGTACCAAAATCCATTGGTGTTTTGATCACATCAAAATAATCCTGAACCAAAAAAAAAAAAAAAAAAAGAGTTTTGGAAATAGTAATTTATAATTATATAAAAATGTTGTTAAGAAGTTAAGATTACAGGTATTCCAAGAGCAACAGGGTTCACTGGAGCATTAAAAGGCTCTGCTGCATCCATTTTCATAATCTTTTTAATCACCTACAAAGTAACAAAATATGCAAATCAAGAATCAAGATTGCATTTTTTTTCAGTGGGAGAAATGAAAAGAAAAGAAAAGAAAAGAAAATAGAAATTAAAAGTACCTCAAGGGAAGCATTTAGTTCTTGCTTATTGTACACAGAATCTCTAGAAAGTAACACTGGTTCTTTCTGATGTGTTTTATCTGTTTGAGAAACTCCAGAAGTATTACAATGACTCAAACTTGAGGTAAAACCCTTTGATGATTTTATTTTTATGCTTCCAGTTTTTTTGGCTTGATTCACTGAAGCACCTACTACATTGTTTTCGGGTGCTGAGTTGGCACTGTCTTCTACTTTGTCACTAACTATTTGTTTCTCAAGACCAATATGTTGGCTACTTTTATCAGTATCACTGTGTGTATGTGCATCTGAGGAAGTGATTTGAGGTTCTAATGCTTTTGAAGATTTGATCTTGACTTTGACCCGATTGTATACTAATCTTCCTACTGGTTTATCAGTTACTCCAGTTGAACTGACAGCCGGCGGTTTTTCTGGTTGATCAGTTCCTGTTGATGATGGGGTTTCAATATCCATTCTTGAGCTTGTATCGTCTTTCTCAGTATCTTGATTATCATCTGGACCAGATTCATCTTCACCACTTAGATTATCAATGTTGGAATCATCCTCTGTTATTCCCACCTTAGGGGTACTTTTGGAATTTCCCTTCTTTCCACGCTTGCGCTTCATGGTTTTATGACTTCTAAAACTAGTGTAGGCAAAGGAAGGTGATAATAATATTAGATAAGCAAGTTAGTTTGTTCAATTTAACAGCCTAATTCGTTTACTTGTTGTGAAGTATACTTTTCCCCAAATCAATTTTCATACACCCAACTGTGGTTATTCTTGTGCAACGATCTCTACAACTTAACGCATAGTGATAAAATCAAGTATTTTTCTAAACAATATAAACCATAAAACTAGATATTTGGGCCTATCCAGCTACGAATCCTAGCAAACATGATAGTGAAAACCTGCGTGGATATGAATCCTAGCAAAAATAACAAACTAACATCGAATCAATCACAGATAATATACGATCAAAAGCCATCAGCTAAACGTGCTCTTCTTCAAATTTCCATGAAACCAAACGATATCACAAACAGCAGAGGATATTTCACAGATCATACAACAATTCACAACACCATACGTGATTTCCACGACGAAACAAACGAATAAAACAAAAACTCAGAAACCCTAAAACGTTCGGAAAGAAATTAAGTTGAAATCTGGTAAGCATTTAGGAAAAAACGTTACCTGAAGACGATGGAGTGTCAGTGATACTGAGTTCTTAATGAAAAACGACGGATTCCGATTTTCTAACTAATCTTTCAAAATTTTGAACGAGAATAGACGTAGCCACGACTCGCGTAGATGAACGAAAGGGGCTTTTCGCTTTAGAGCGAAGAAGGATGGGTGGATGGCGTATTTGTTTGGTGGGCCATTATCAAAGGACAGGCCGGACTTAATACTTGTATATGGGCCAAAGTGTTTATAGCCCACTGTTTTGGCCCAAGAAGTGATTAACTGAAAACTCAAAGCCTTAAAAGATAAAATGGATATGGTGACATTTTAACTTTTGAAACTTCATATAATTTTAAATAATTTAGTAATAATTAAATATAATAATTTCATTCATGAAGTTTGTCCATTGTTGATATGAAATAAAATATTAATATTTATGTATTAGAACTGTTGAGATACGAATTGTGTCGAGTGACTTATCTTGGAAAAGGGTGAAGCAATTATTATTATTATTATTATTATTATTATTATTATTATTATTACTTTGTCAAAATGAGTGTTAGAAAAAGTGTTCATCACTTTATAAATTTTTTTTTTTATGTATTTTTTATTTCATCTACATATTTGATATTTAAGATATGTTATCAGACCCTTTTAGTATTAAATTTCAAGATAGTTTGAATGTTTTTTATTTAAATAAATGGTGTAGAGATGCACCATATATATATATATATATATATATATATATATATATATATATATATATATATATATATATATATATATATATATATTGACTTTTTAAGTGCGTTAAGTTCAGTTATTACAAGGAAGTTCATTAGAAAAAAGATGAAATCAGTTATTACAAGGAAGTTCATTAGAAAAAAGATGAAATCACACATCTTGGTTAAAATAAATATGACAACCGTATTGTTCAGGGGCCTGTTTTGCCAAAGCTGAAAGTACCATTTTTGTTATGAAAATTAGGTTTTTGGGAGATTCTATCAACATACCAAACTTCAGGGACCAAAGTGTAAATTTTGTTTTCTTGTTTACAACCAAATTTTGATCGGGATTTCTCCTGATTTTCTTCCAAAACCTTAATCCTAAAACTGGTGGGTGTGGGCAACATGTTATCACATCCTAACGTTGCCACCTCACCACCATGTATAATGGTTTTATAACACAACATGGAGGAAATTAACAACATGTTATAACATGAAATGGGGGTGGTGTTTCTGTAACGCCCCATTCCTGGTACGTATTTATTTTAATTAAATGTTCTTTTGGGAGGAGCTACTCGGCGAGTTATGGCCCTAACTCGTCGAGTAGATGTTAAGTGGATGCGGGCTTTAAGTGATCTACTCGGCGAGTCTACGCTTGGACTTGGCGAGTAGGCCAATCAGGAGGAGACCTTAATCATTAGGGTTTGCACCCTATTTAAATGCCCTTACAGCCCCATCTCAGCCCCCATCACCCTCAGAGCAA